GTGAGATCGAAGGTTGATCCTGCATGGGAACATTGTGTTCAAGTAGCTAGCAAAAACTCAAGTGGCAAACCTCGCTTGAGACGTTTGTATTGTGCAAAGGAATTTGGAGGTGGAGGGATACATAGAATGAAACAGCATCTTGGGGAATAAAAGGAGATATAATAAGTTGTAAAAAAAGTTCCGGGTGATGTTCGCTTTCGGTTGGGAGAAAATTTGAAAGAAATTGAAGAGAAGAAAGGTAAGAAACAAGATATATATGAGGAGGACAATCCCTATGGTCCTAGTGTCACACCATTTGAAGGGGATGCTCCAAATTTGCAAGAGGTTCCTCCGACACAGATTCAAACTCCTACTCCAACTTCTTCTCAGCAAAATATTCAAACTTCTGCCTTAAGACCATCTCAAGCTATGAAAAGAAAGCCATCTGCACCAATAGACAAATTCTTTGCCCCAAGGACAAGTCCAGGTGCACAACCAGGAATTAGAAGTGCGTTTGCAAGTAAGGAAGCTGTGCATAGAGCAGACTTAGCTATGGCTAGGTGGCTCTATGATTGTTGTATTCCAATTAATGCTGTTAATTCTCCTTACTTCCAGCCTATGATAGATGCTATTGCAGCTATTGGACCTGGTTATAAAGGGCCATCTTATCATGCTTTTAGAACCAAATTACTACAAGATATGAAAAAGGAGGTTCAATTGTTAGTTGATGAGTGTAGAGGCTTTTGGGCAGAAACTGGTTGCACAATAATGGCTGATGGTTGGCAAGATCAAAGAAATAGGCAATTGATTAATTTTCTTGTTTACTGTCCTAGAGGGATTGTGTTCATTAAGTCTATTGATGCCTCAGATATTGTGAAGGATGCTCAAACTCTTTGTAACTTATTCTTGGAAATGGTTACATTTGTTGGTGTGGATAATGTGGTTCATTTGGTAACCGATAATGCAGCTAATTATAAAGCTGCTGGGAGGTTATTAACTGACAAGCATCCTTCTATATATTGGTCTCCATGTGCTGCCCATTGCTTAAATTTGATTTTAGCGGACATTGGCAAAATGGCTCTTGTTACTAGTTTGGCATCAAGAGCTTCAAAGGTTTCAAAATTCATTTACAATCATGCATTTTTGCTTGCCTGGCTGAGAAAAAGAGAAGGTTGGAAAGAAATCATCCGTCCAGGACCTACACGGTTTGCTACCACATTTATTGCATTAAAAAGTCTTCTTGATCACAAGCATGATTTACAAGCCCTGGTAACTAGCAAGGCATTTTTAGATTCCAGATACTGTAGAGATCAGAGAGCCAAAGATGTAACATTGATTATATTAGATAACAAGTTCTGGAATGATTGTAAGATTATTGTTGAAGTTGTGAAACCACTTGTTCGGTTGTTGAGAATAGTTGATTCTGATGATAGGCCTTCACTTGGATATATCTATGAGGGTATGTATAGGGCAAGGAAAGCTATCAAGAGTACTTTCATGAACAAAAAAACTTTATACAAGCCTTATACAAGAATTATTAAGAGAAGGTGGGATACACAGCTTCGTCAAGATCTTCACACAGCAGCTTATGTCTTAAATCCTGCTTTTCTTTATGACCAGGCTAACTTTTCTCAAAAGCCAGAGGTTATGAATGGATATCTTACAGTTATAAATAGAAAAATAGCTTCCAATAAGACCAAGTTCTTGCAAGAAGGCACACAGTACCAAAATAGAAGTGGTAGCTTTAGTCATCCTTTGGCCCTTGAATCTGCAAAATCAATGCGACCTGGTAAAGTTTTATATTTTAATGTTTGATGATAGTTTGATGAGTCATGATTCTTGATTCTTAGGTATTAAGCCTGTGACTTAATCATTTGATGATGTTTTATTTTTGATATGACAGATGAATGGTGGCGATATTTTGGAGGTAGTTGTCCAAATGTGAAAAAGTTGGCTATTCAATTATTAAACCAAACTGCATCTTCATCAGGTTGTGAAAGGAATTGGAGTGTCTTTGAAAGAATACACTCTAAGAAAAGGAACAGGTTGGAGCATAAAAGGCTGAATGATCTTGTCTTTGTTCATTACAATTTTCGTTTGAGGAATAGGTATATTTTTCTAACTTTTAGACTCTACTTGAATTTATATTTTCCAAACAATTGATTAAATTAATGCTAATACTATGTTATTGTCATTTGTTTTTCAGAGTTGTTAACAAGAACAAAACTTTTGATCCTATTGATTATGAAAGTATTGATAAGATTGAATACTGGATAACTGAAGAAGTTGATTCTCCTCCACTTTCAACATTTCGTGCTGATGAGATCGAAGAAGACATCATTTATGATGATACAACACTACCAATGCCAAATGTTTTCATCAATGAAGAAGGTTAGATGTTTTTTAATCTTTCTATTTTTTTAATTTATATTTTACATTCGACTAATTTCAATAATATGATTGTTGCAAACTATTTTATAAAGATAATTATGAAGAGAGAGGCAATGAGGCTCAAATTGAGGATAGATGCTTTGACACTGGAGTTGGAGCAGGTGTTGATTTGGGATCATTTTCTCAACAAGACATTGATAGTCACAGTGTAGAGGCTGCAGACCCATATGCCTTTTTGGAGACTCATGCTTGGCTTAATCAAGATCCTCCAATATTTGACAAGTCATGAAGTCATTTGTCTTAGTGCATTATATTGAGTACTTAGGAGTCATGTAGTGTTAGATTGCTAAGGACTTAAGGAATTTTATTTTGTTAAAACATATGTAGTAAACATAATTTTACTATAAATTATGCTAATTATATTTATCATATTATATATATACTATATAACTATTTTTAATTTAATTATTATCTTACCGGTTCGACCGAACGGTCCAACCGTTTGAACCGGTTGAACCATGACCCGCTGCTCTTTCCGGCTCGACTTCCGGTCCGGCTTTTAAAACATTGCTATGAAGGCTGAAGCAAGACATAAATATGGTAGGAATCGAGGCATTTGTTGATCTCTGTATCTGAACTACTTGTTTGAAGAGAAAGCAATTCTGATCTGCAAATTCTGAAAGCTGCCATTTTTGAGACCGAGCTTTGCTTATGAGCTATTTCTTTGGCGCTTCCCTTCACATTCAGGTTCTTTCTTCTCTTTTAATTGCTCTGTCCCATGAATCCATCATCCTTCTATTCTTCTGCCCGCAAAAGATCTGTTATTCTATTTCTTTTCCTAGTGCTGCTGATTCAATCTCCTCCTTAGCTCCCTTACTGTCATCCATCTAATAAAACTTAAACATTTGAATTTCTTTTACACTTCAACTTCTGAAGAAAAAAAAGTCCTAAAACCTTCAAAGATATGCACGCACTTGATCTATTGATTAAGCTCTTCATTTATTTATTCATATTTTTCTTAATGAAGTAAACGACTGATTTATTTATTTCATTTGAAAAAGTGAAGTGCTTCTTTCGTTCACCTTAATCGCTCCCCATTTCATTGTTATGCGTGAAAAAGGCAACCAGCAGGGCGTATTCTCTTATTCTCTTTTCTCAGGATCCATTTTCTTAATCCCACCGATCTCCAGTTTTACCAGTATTTTCCTGGAATTTTTACTGTTTTTTTCCCGACAGAAAACAAACAAAAAATATCAATGCATATGAATTTATTCCATCCAACTTCCTTTGAAAGAAAAAACCATTAACACACGGCCTGGCTAATACGCCTTCAACGCGTGTACTTTTACTCACTGTGGCTCTGCTTCTTTTAAAAGAAATCAAGTTGTTGGTAAAAAAAAAAAAAACAAATCAGTAAAGTTGCTGTGTGGAGTGTGGACTTGACTGGTAAGTTGGCCCTACGATGGACTCTTTCTTTCGCACTATTATTCCATCCATAAATATATGCTCTTCATTTTAGCATCAATCGTTACTCTCCATCGAGTTGCTATATATTGATCGTTCCGCAACTTGTTCCCACTTGCTAAGTAGTTTTGTTTGATCTTTATATCATGTTAATCAAGAGCCAAACCATCAACACGCGAGCTTCCCGGACACTGGAATAAGAGCCTCTGAAACACGGAGACAAATACATGTGAGTGAGGCATTTGGTGATCTCTGAATCTGAACTGAAAAGCTTGTTTCAAGAGAAAGCAAAGTTTGCGAGTTCTGAAGCTGCCATTTTGTGAGAGCTATTTCTTTCACTTCCCTCCACATCTGTCCAGGTTCATTTCTTCTCTTTTACTCGCTTTATCGCATAGATCCATTATCCTTCTACTGTTTTCCCTGCATCACCCCCAGGGGAATTTTCGCAGAAAAATTCTGCAAAAGATTTTCTTTTTTCTTCTCCCAGTACTAGCTATTGATTGATTCTCCTCCCTAACTGCTTTGCAGTCATAGATCTATTGACCTAAGTCTTCATTTATTTTATTCAATTTTTTTAAATGAAGTAAACAGTTGATTTATTTATTATATTATAAAATTAAAGGCAAAGTGCATGTTCTTTCTTTCATTCTAATCACTCTCCATTTCGTTGTTATGCTTAAAAAAGGCATCGCTATAAACCAACAGGGCATATTCTCTGTTTTTGATAATCCACTTGCTTGATCCCACCCATCTCCAGCTTTACCAGTGCTTTCCCTAGTGTCTGTGTTAATCCTAAAAAACTTCATTTCATTCAATTATTAATTATTCGTTAAATTTGTTTGAAGAACTTGATTGAAGAGGAGAACGTCTGCAAATTAAGCTCGAAACTAACATGTTTTAGACCTTGTGAGCTAATTAAGCTGACATCCACCGGGCTAATACTGTCCATTAATTCTTTTCTTTTTCTCTTTCACTTGCTTCGTCCTGTTAAAATGTACCGTTTTGCAAGCATTTCCCTAAAATTATCGGTGTTTTCTTTGCACAGGCCAAATATTGCAAAAAAAAATTGTTAATTTCTTCTGTTTTCTAGTGTTGATAATCTTGTCCCTAGCTACCTTACTTGCTGAAGGCTGAAGCTAGAAACTTCTATCACAACCATTGCTTCAATGCTCCAAAAAGCTTTATCGATCCTATTGGGAGTATCAATTTCTAAAGCCATCAGACTCATCTCTCGTTCGCGTAATGGTAACCAACCTGTTGCTATTGCTGCTAGGTAGCTACCTTCTTCTAAATAACCTCACACTCTTTATTTTATTGTTTGATTTGCTCCTGCACATAACGCAATATCTGTTCACTGTTTGTTTCTTCCTGTAGCTCTGAAGACGATGTTATTTTAACTTCTCCTCCTGCTACCAAGTATGATGTGTTCCTTAGCTTTAGAGGAGAAGACACTCGCCACAATTTTGCAAGTTATCTTTACAAAGGGCTTCGAAATGCGGGCATTCACACTTTTATGGATCACGAACTTCGAAAAGGAGAATCAATCTCACCGATTCTTCAAAGAACAATAGGGGAATCAGAAATATCTGTGATTATTTTCTTTGAGAATTATGCTTCTTCAACTTGGTGTCTAGATGAGCTTGTTCACATATTAGAATGCAAGCGTAAATTTGGAAGGGTTGTGATACCTGTTTTCTATAACGTAGATCCTTCAAGCATACGCAAACAAAATGGGAATTTTGGAAAAGGATTTGATGTATTGGAGCAAAGATTTAAAGACAACCCAGAAGCATTGCAAAAGTGGAGAAATGCTTTAATCCAATCTACAAATCTCTCTGGATGGGATTCCCACAGTACAAGGTAGCTTCAAAAATGTTCCTTTTGTTGTTGGTATTGGGGATTTATTCAATTAATTTTTAGAATTCTAGCAAATTGTTAATGTTTTTATTTGTTGGTTTTGGGGATTTATGCGTTTTCTTTTGATTGACATTTATGCTAGACCTGAATTCAAACTTATTGAAGAGATTGTCAAGGATATTTTGAGAAAGTTGAACTATGCGTCATCATCTCATCTTGAAGGACTCATTGGTATTGCTCGACATTTTAGAAACATTCAGAGGCTTCTAATTGAGGCCCGCATTGTGGGAATATGGGGTATGGGCGGTGCTGGTAAGACCACACTTGCTAAAGCTATACTTCAGGGGTTGAAAGCTCAATTTGATGCTTTCTCCTTTATTGAAAATGTCAAAGAGCAATTAAAAAGGATTAGTTTGGATGAGCTACAGAAGAATTGCCTCAGAGAATTATTAAAAGATGAGGACATTAGCATCTATGACATAAAAACCACTTTTATGAAAAATAGGCTTAGAGAAAAAAATTCTTCTTATACTTGATGATGTGGACAATTCAATAGTAGCAGCAGATTTAACCAAGGTACTTGATTGGTTTGGAGAAGGAAGTAGAATTATTATCACATCAAGGGACATGCAAGTGCTGAAGAATGCTTCAGCAACATCTTCAACATATCACGTTCCGGATTTGGATTTTGAAGGTGCTTTTCATCTCTTCAATTTGAAAGCATTCAAGCGAGATGAGCCATCTAAAGGTTACATGGAGTTATCAAAATCAGTAGTGAAATATTGTCACGGAAACCCATTAGCCCTATTAGTGCTGGGTTGCTTCCTCTATGGCAGACAAAAAGAAGAGTGGGAAAGTGCTTTGGAAAAACTAAATCAATCTCCACCCAAGGACATTGTTGATGTTTTGAAGTTGAGTTTCGATGGACTTGATGACAAACAACAAAATGTGTTTCTTGACCTAGCATTCTTAATCAAGCAAGGAGTTCATATTTCTTTGAACCTATTGAGACAATTATATTGCTCTTCTATGCATATTGAGATAAGTGTTCTAAGAGAAAAGTCCCTCATTTCATTTAATAATCATAATAATTTCATTGAGATGCATGATCTTCTGAGGGAAATGGGCCTTGAAATTTCAAGCCAACAATTGTATTCTAGTCGCAAAACCCTTGTTCGACTATGGAGGCACGAGGACATTTATCACTTTTTCCACAATGACCAGGTAATACTTTATTTTTTAGTTATATTCTTTATTCTTTTAATAGTTCATATCTTTTTTTTCCTTGTGATGTATTTTCTTAAAGTTATTTGTTTATTCATTAAATTCTTCAATAAGTTTCAATATATGCCCAAATAGACCCTTTAAAAAAAAAAACTCCTTTCTTTGACTAAAATTGGTTAGAGCAAAGCAAAGTCTTTTTATTAGGTGTGATCTTTTAAGCTTAAAATTTTAGTTTTATAATTAAAAAATTAAAAAAAAACTTTTAAAAATATATTGGGTCTTATATTAAATATATTCACTACGCTAGAAGTTATATTGAATTTGGTTATAAAAATATATTATTGAATTTGATCCTAAATATATTAGGTGTAATTTTATGCTTAAACTCTTAAACTTTCTATTAGTTCTGACACAGAATATGATAAGGATGATGTAAGACGTATTTTTAAATTTAGAGCATGAACGATCTTCAATAAATTATAAAATTATCCACAAAAATTGACTTTTTTTTATATTAATAATAGCAGTAGCAAAAATTGATGTAGTCTGAAAGTGATTGCGTGTGTACTTAAACACTGCACATGCATGCTCGCGCGTTTTCTTGATAAAAATTCAGTGATATTGCAAAAAGGTACAAATTATGATATTTAAGCATAAAATTCTTTTTAAAGAATTTTATATATGCCGGGCGGTTTTATATACAATAGTTTTAAGAATTTAAACATGTTCGTATGGTGGTCCCCGTGAGCCTGCGTGCATTTGTTTTGTCCAATTTATTTATTGTAAGATAAAATGAGTTGTTTGAATAAAGTGCACAAGGGTATATTCATTTAGAAATTCCTCAAAGAAATATATTTAATTGTTCTATTTATTATCTGGTCACCTTTTACATATTACCAATTTTTTCCCATAATTTCATCAGTAGGCGGCTGAGTCAATTCAATGCTCATCATTAGACATGAAGAAGATCAACAGGATTGCAATAACAATTAGTGATATTCAGAAGAATTATAATTTAAAATTAGCTAGGACTTTCGTGATGCGTTGTTTTAAAAGATAAAATTAGTGTACAAAAATTTTTCATTAAGTGATATATGTATATGCATGTGTGAGCATAATTTACCATTATTTGAAGTACAATGGGAAAATAATTTTTTTTCTTTTTGCTTTTATAGTTATATTCTAAATATCTGCACATGCATATAGGTGTATGCATCAGTGTGTCTGCGTATTTATGATTGTTGAGAAATTCATATATTATGGGAAAAACATGAATGTAAGGAATTTTAAATAAAATGGATATAGTGGTGTTAATTTGGATAGAAGTTGATATACTTAATTGTTCTATGGTATTTATGGTCATTTTTTTTAGATAATGATACTTGTGTTTCCCTTGATTTGATATTATTACCAGGCGGTTGAGGCAATTCGATGCATGTCATTGGATGCAAGCAAGATAGAAAGCATCACATTGATGGCTAGTCATTTTCGAAGGATGCATTATTTAATGTCCCTTCAAGTTTACAAGTCAAATCAGGGAAAGCCTTCAAAGTTGAATATTTGCAAATCGTTGGATTATCTTTCTAAAGAATTAAGGTTTCTCAATTGGGAAGAATATCCACTGCCATTTGTGCCATTACAATTTTGTGCTAAGAATCTCATTGAACTTGAATTGCCTAACAGTAATATCCAACAGCTTTGGGATCAGGTGTGTATAGTTTCTCATATGTCATAATTTTTTGCTGTTGTGATTCTAAGAAACATTAACTAAATTAATTCACAATGCAAATGTTTGCTTTATTATTATCTTTAAATTGATGGTAGTAGTAATTGTGCTATCTGCGGGGAGTCCAACTGTTCTTGTAATGGGCATGAGAAAAATTGTTGAGTAAATTGTACGTGCGTGTAGTTATGTAATTTATTTAACACTGCTGCTTTGTGTTTTTTTTTCCCAGCAATTTCCAAATCTAAAGAGAATAAATCTAAGCTATTCAAAAAATCTCAAGGCACTCCCAGATTTGTCTCAAGCCCCTAAGATTGAAAGAATAGATCTTGATGGTTGTGTGAATTTGGGTCAAGTCCATTCTTCGACTGTCCCGAAACACAATGTCGATTTATTTATAAGAGATCGTGGGCCGATGCAAATAAATATCGGGGGCAGTATAAAAGGGAGAATTTCATCAGAGTTAGTGATTATGCACAATTATTTGGATCTTGTCGATTTGACATTCAATAAAGTGACAATGAAGGTGATGGTGTGCAGCAAGATCATGTATGGCATTGGATTTAAGCATGTGAAAATGCCATTGAAAGAGACAGCAGAAGTCATGACAATGGGAATACAAAGTTTGGCGACTTTACTTCCATTTGTGAGGATAGTTGAATGGTTAGAGTCCAATTGAATTTGGGCATGATTTCAACCAACATCATACCTATGATGTTGAACATGCCTACTGGCAAAGTGTCTGCTTTGCAATTACTGTGAGGATGAGGGGTGATAGAGGCAAAAGGGGTGTGGAAGATGATAAAGAAGAGGATGAGGATAAGAGAGAAATGATTAGTGAGAATGAAAGAGAAATGAGTAGTAAGGGAGATCAAGTAGGAGAGATGACATTATTATTAAAGGAAGATGAACAAGAAGAGGCCGATGAGGATGATAGTAAGATGGACGATACATTATTAACAACACTACTTATTCCCAACACCATCCCTCGCTGGTCACTATTGATTCGACTGACATTAAAAGAGGGTGATAGTATTGGGAATAATAATGCAGGTTGTAGCAGCATCCCTCAAGTTTCAATATTCCGCAAATCACTTAATGAAGATTGCAGGGCAAGGATTCAGCCTCTTTTAGGAGTACAACTCTCTTCCCCAATATCCCCTTTACCTCATCATTCTTTCGGAGTCTTTTATAACTACTCGAGGAGCACGCTAGAACATCCTCATTTTCTTGTTTTCGAAAGTGGATACAGGTCAAGTGATTATTTCTGTGGTAATGACTTATTTGTTCGCTTTGGGAACTACTGGTGATGATATTAATTATCATTTAAATTTTTCAGGTCATAAAATTATCAGTCTCATTTATTTTTTATTACATATTAATATTATGTTTTCATGAAATGTTAATTTTTCTGTTTTTTTTAATATGTAATTCATGTACGGAGGGCCTCCTCATAACTTTATAACATAAAAATTGTTAATCTTATTTTCACTTCACAATAACTGCACCTGTTTTTTGTGTTACTCTCCATGTGATGTGAGTATAATAACTAGCGTGACAAAAAATTTCCTTCCTAAGCTCAACTTGTAAATGTTAAAATGTTATAATATTTAAATTGTAACTACATTAAAATAAAATATATTTGTTTGTTAAATTGTAACTACATTAAAATAAAATATATTTGTTTGATCGGCCACCAGTCAATCATTCCAAGTTGATCAATGCGGTTAATTCGCATTGTGATCATTTACACTTTTTTTTTTTAAATCTATTTATGCTTGTTTTTCTCGTTTGAGATATAGTGGTAATTTTCCCTTCTCGTTGTATGACATCAAAGATATATATATATATATATATATATTGAAGTGTGACTTATTGAGCGCTTCCTCACAATTTTAGAACATACTCTAGCAATTATTAGTCTTAATGGTTCTTTTTTATAATTTTTCTATCATTCGTTACTTTCTCCAAGTATAAATTGTATAACTTATTTATAAATAAGTGGAGAAATAATTTTCTATTACGAAGCAATTTTCTTGAGATTATTCATTATTTACCATACATAGAGTATCCTCTAACTTGTACTTCAAAAACATGTATAGTCTGCTTGCATAAAATAGACTGTACTAAATTAAACTATAGCAGAATGTATTATCATAACTCATATTTTATTACAATAAGTTGTTCACTTCATGAAACGTCATTATTTTTTTACAGCAAAAACCACAAGTTTTTATTCATTGACTTCGTCTAGTTGAATGATAATGGGAGAGTGGAAAATTTAATAAGTTTGATTTTTTTATGAAAATGAAGTAGGGTTGAAAGATTTTAATAAAATTTTCTTATTTCTTACTTTTATAACTTCTCTCTATTAATGGAGGTACAATGATGCCTATCATTTTTTGACAATGACAAGGTAATAGCTTTTTTTAAAAAAAATAAAAATAAAATTTTCAGTTAGTCTCAATATTTAACTTGAAGTTCCTTAATTTTATTTGTTTGCATGTTGAAAATTTTTTAACTTAGACTCGACCATTAAAAAAAAAAATCCTTTCTTTAAGTATGACTAAAATTGTTTGGGGCATGCATGCATTTATGTTAGGTGTGATTTATTAACTAACTTTGAAATAGTTATTAAGTTTTGGAAATGTGGTACAAGTAGCACTAAGAGTAGCAGTTAATTGACAAAAATTCCTGTTCACATTGATTTTATTTACACGATTGATCAATCTTTGCAAGCTCGAGACGCAGGTAATAACGACAATCTTTTCACTAAATTATTGAATTTATCCTAGTTACATATAGACTTAATCAAAAAAAGTATAACATATATGCTTAGTCCTTTAAATCTACATCAAATTTTAGTTTAATCTCAAATCTAAGATGTTAAAATTAAGAAACTAAAGGTAAACTTTAAAAACTTAAGAAATTAAAATGAAATTTGATGTAAACTTAAAGTATCAAGCATGTAAAAAAGAGGGGGAAAATAATCACTTGCTATTAACATATGCATCTTAAATAAGATTTATCTAAGTCACTGCATCATCCCACATAATGGAATTGCTATTCAGAATGAACGTAATGGATAACTATGTCTCAGTTGGACAGATTGCTCATGGAAATATATGCTGTCCATGAAAGATAAATGCATTAAGAACATAACAGATTTGAAACTAAAACCTTCTGTAAACTACCAATCCTCACCACTACACTAAATTTTTGCCTTTTAAGGAGAAAAATAAAATTCCTCAATGAACAATATAATGTTGGTTAAATGAGTACAAATATATTATGACAAGTTATTACACAACACTTGATGTCATTATCTGTTTTCCTAGCGCATGATTATATTGTCCCAATAGATAATCTCTGTGACTTTAACCCGAACAAATCTCCAAAAAGTTTAGAAACCATAAGTGGAAGATTCCTAGACTCAGGAGCCATGAAGTTTACGACATTTTCAGGAACATTATACCTTCAATGCCACATTACACAATATAAACAGCAAATTAGTCAAAAATCTCTTTTCAGTTCTGGAGAATTTAGCAATATATATGTATATACACATGACAAAAGTAATGGAACGAAACAAGGAAATGCCATCTTCATCAACTAACCTTATCTTGTGACTTTTTGAGGCCCGACGATCGACATATTTCCTTTTCTTTGGCTGCGTCTTCTTCAAAGCATAAAGTGCTTTCTTTGTATGATTCACAATAGTGGAAAATAAGAACATGACTTCTGCTTGCATGGCATAAGGTTAACACTATGATTTCTAGGAAGGCAGCTCATGCTAATTCTAGGCTCAAAAAATTTGATCAAAACTATTTAGATGGAAAAATAATAATAAATCACTACTGTGACAACCGTTCTTTTAAAATCCATTTTAATAAAAATGTTCAATCTATTCGAACGATTAACCATGATAGAAAAGAAGAAACCTTAAAATTTTAAAATCGCTATCATGGTTAAAAGAAATAAACTTATATTACGAGCCACATCAATCGTTCACTTGGGCCTTGGACTTTCAAAGTCCAGAAATATCATTCAACCATTAGCCCAAACCAAACTTACACTTTCAAACACACGAACTAATAAAACATTTTAATACAAGTCATAGAGCCCATTAGTCAAAAGTTAACACTATCAAATGAGTGTAATACGCCAAGTCTTAAATATCTCTGGCCTTCCAATGACCTCTCATATCAGATAGTAGTAATTAAAAGTATTAGTTTACAGCATTAGAGTATATGGGCCCTATGTGGCAATATATAACAAGTCAGCACATAGAACAAAAGCAGGGAGGCTATACAAGCTATAACAGCACACTATGCCTCCGGAGCCTTCCCTGATGGGCCACCACCTGAACTATCGCCTGAAAATGTTAAACCACGGGGTGAGACAAACGCCTCAGTAACCAACTTTCCAACTCATCATATATACTAACATGTGCTCGTGAGGTGTCAAGTGGGATAATTATTAAACCTCAATATCTATATACCAATGAAAATACAAATATGTATACTCAAATAATCTCAATCATCCAAACCCTCATTACGGGGGCTAACACACAAGCCACATAAGTCTATCCCTCACTATAAGGGATCAAACCGACCTATAGGCCTATCCCACACTTTGGGGGACGATTAAGTATTCACAAAGGTTCATCCCTTATTATAGGCCTATCCCACACTTTGGGAGACGAATAAAAAGCCACAAAGGTCTATCCCTTACTCTAGAGACGAAGGAATAAGCCAACCAATGTGCACCAATGGTGGCCTTACCATGTGGTAGGATAGCGCTCAATCCAAAATCCAAATAACAACCAACCATTCACAATATAACAAAAATGTCTCAATCTTTTCCCAGTATAATCCATAAAATATAAATCATATATCTTTTCCAAACTTCTCAATCACAACTCCAAAAATCCTACAAGACAATTTTCATAGCTCAAAAGATATAATTTATCTACTCGAGTTTCAAATAACAAATCATTATACCAAAATAGCAAAATACTCACAAACAACATATTAGCACATATAACAAGTGGAAAGTGGTTACCTCTCACCAAAGCAATACTAAGGATTACCACAAGGTCAATCCTTTGCTCACCCAATAATTAATCTACATAATTAATATAACCACATATTAATTACACTTCTTTATATTAGTTAAATTTCTAATTTAATTAAATTTTTATTCTAAATTCTCGCAACTCTCATAACCCAAAAATTATTAAGTATTTTAGAAACAACTTAAAATTTCTAACAACCCAAATTATTTATTTACCACCTCCAAATTATTTACCTTAATAAAAAGGATTTTCCACAATTTCTAAATATAAAATTATTATGTTCTAAATTCTAAAAACTCTCATTTTCAGTTTAAACCTCAAAATCAAACTCTTAAAAATTTAATAACACTTTAAATATTTATAACTAAATAATATAATCAAAACTTTAATGGTATAACTACTATATATATATTTCCATAAATAATAAACTTTTTAGCTACAATAATTATTTTAAAACCTCCAGTCACCCAATAAATAAAACTAAACCGATTAAAATCTTAATAATATGCCAAACAATCCAAATAAATTACTTAACTTGAATTTAATCGGTAAAAATATGGTATATCTCATAAATGACAGATTTTTAACTAAATAAATTAATTTAAATACTAAAACTAACAAATAGAGAAATCTAAACCGGTTAAAATTAACAACTCATTCACTTCTAAATTTCTATAGTCATCTTTTGTCAAAACTCAATACTTAGATCATATATAAGTCTCAAAATTTTCTCTAATAACTACAGTAATAATGTAAATGGGAAGTTTAAAATATACAGGAAATATTTATAAAGAAAGTTTGATAAAAAAAAAGTAATTTTATGTACCTAAAATATCTGCAAAGCTTGCCCTCTTCTTCACCGGTATGCTCCTCCCGCTCTATCTCTCTTTCTCTCGTTCCTCACCCACTCTATCTCTCTTTCTTCCTTGCGTCTGATGCGAAATGAATTTGGGGGAGGGGGTATTTAACAACCTCAAACATTTATTGAGGGGGTTGAATTCTACCGCAACCCCCTCCAAATTTCTACCTCTCCCCTGTCAACTTTCCACCAAATTCGATGGAAAGTTGACTTATATATATATATATATTTTAATAAAATAATACTCCTTCCGTTTCTTATTATAAGAGACATTTGGTACTCATGGCATGTTCCTATATATAAGAGACACTTAAAAGTTGTCTCTACTTTTTATGGTGATTTTCTATTTTACCCATATTTATTGTCTCCAACTCACACTCTCTCTCCTTCCCACTTCTCTTTCTTTAATAAATTACCATTGTTCTCTCTCCTTATTAATGAGGATATTTTTGGAAAAAAAATTATACTTTTTACATATTAATTGTTCTTAACTAATTTTAACTGTTTTTTTTTATCAACGTAATTCGGTTATTCGTCTCTTATAATAAGGAACGGAGGGAGTATTATTTTATTATAATAATAAAAAATATATATTTTTACATAAATCCTAAAAATTAATTTAGGATATTACAACTACTAATTCTACAATTTTTCTAGGAACCTTTCATGCTAAATATCAAGTGTAATTCTTTCATAATTGCCAAATATACATTATAAGTTAAACAAAAGAGGATGTCCTTACCAATCTAATATTCCAACGACATCATCAGAACATCCTTGGGAGTACAACTCTCTTCCCCACTATCCCCTTTACCTCATCATTCTTTCGAAGTCTTTTATAACTACTTGGAGAGGACGCCAGAACATCCTCATTTTGTTGTTTTCAGCAGTAAATGCCTGTCAAATAATTATGTTTATGGTTATGACTTAGCTGTTAGCTTTAGGAAGTACTAGTGATGATATTGATTATCATTTAAATTTTTCGGGTCATAAAATTATCAGTCTCATTTATTTTTTTTTATTACATATTAATATTATGTTTTTATGACATATTAATTTTTCTGTTTTTTTAATATGTGATTCGTGTACGGAGGGCTCCCTCATAACTTAATAACATAAAAATTGTTAATCTTATTTTCGCTTCACAATAACTGCACCTGTTGTGTGTTACTCTCCATGTGATGTGAGTATAATAACTAGCGTGACAAACAATTTCCTTACTAAGCTCAACTTGTAAATGTTAAAATGTTATAATATTTAAATTGTAACTACATTAAAATAAAATATATTTGTTTGATCGGTCACCAGTCAATCATTCCAAGTTGATCAATGTGGTTAATTGGCATTGTGATCATTTACACTTTTTTTTTTCCAAAAAAAAAATCTATTTATACTTGGTTTTCTTGCTTGAGATATAATGATAATTTTCCCTTCACATTATATGACATTAAAGATATATATATTTTTTGAAGTGTGATTTATTGAGTGTTTCCTTACAACTTTAGAAAATACTCTAGCAATTATTAGTCTTACTAGTTCTTTTCACACTAAAAAAAAACATGCAATTAGCGACGTCACTAATTAGTCACAGATTAGTGACGGAATTTTCCGTTACTAATTCTGCTTACCACCTCACTCTGCTTGCCACGTGTGTCGCCACCACATAATTCCTTTTCAAAGTGACTTCTCTATGGACCGAACCTGGAACCTCCTTTGTGCACATGTGCAGCTTTAACAGTTGAAATGTAATGAACCTGTTGACTTATTATATAATATTCTTTTACACAAACAATTATATACACATATATATTATTAAAAACTTAAAAAAAATATGATAATTTTAATCATAACTATTTTAATGAAAAAATAATTTTTAAACACTTGTTTTACTACTTATGTTATAATGTTTTATTTTTTTAAAAATATTTTTAATATAATTTCAATTTCTAATGACACTAATTTTGAATTTTAAATCATAAATAATTTTTTCATAAATAAATTTTAAAATTTATATTTTAATTAACATTGATAAGATATCCGATTTAATTATATATGTATTGTATTACATTATATTATATTATCTATATATGTTTTATATATTTGATGAAAAATATTTATAATTAGTAAAAAAAATCTAGTTATTCAAAAAATAGCTACTATAATAAAATCTAATAAATTATTTTATATTAAAAATTAAATGATTTGAATAGATTATGATAAACAATATTCTCCTACTTCTATATGTATCCTGTCTGATTTATTTTCTTAAAATTCTTTATATATACCATTTGTTTTTGCATAGAAGACCAAAATCAATCCATATCATGGGTATTAATTATATCATGATTAAATTTTATTATTTAATGATTGAAATTCAAAATTCACTTCAATATTAGTTTGGTTTTGAATGTCTATCATTTATTATATCTTTCAATATATTGTACATATAAGAAAATTATTTCTTTCTTATATCAGTTTGTATAAGAAAGTTATTAATATTCTTATTATATTTTTAATTATTATTTTATAATTAAAAATATATTTAAATCATTATATTCTTAATTATGTTGTTATATAAATTGTTGTAAGATTATAATCTAAAATAATGAAATTTAAAATTAGTGACTAATTAGTGATAAAATTCGTGAGGAAAACTTTTGTGACAAACAACTTAGTGACGAAAATTTTCGACGGAAAAAATTTCTTCACTAAATATTTAGTGAAGGATTTTTTGATAGATTAGCGATGGAATTTAGCGGCGAACAAAAATTCCGTTGCTAATCCGTCACTAATATTAGTGACAGAAAATTTTCGACGGAAAAAATTTCATCACTAAATTTAGCGATAGAATTTTTGTCAATAATCTGTTGGAAATTAGCCATGAAATAATTTTTCATCGCTAATTCCATCAGTAATGAGCTGTTTTTTTATAACGTCAATAATTGTTCTATCATTCGTTACTTTTTGCAAGCGTACCCTGTATAACTTATTTATAAATAAGTGGAGAAATGATTTTCCATTACGAAGCAATTTCCTTGGGATTATTCATTATTTACCATACATAACGTATCCTCTAACTTGTACTTCAAAAACATGTATAGTCTGCTTGCATAAAATAAATTGTACTAAATTAAACTATAACATAATGTATTATCATAACTCATATTTTATTACAATAAATTGTTCACTTCATGAAACGTCATTATTTTTTTTTACAGCAAAAACCACATGTTTTTATTCATTAACTTTGTCTGGTTGAATGATAATGGGAGAGTGGAAATTTTAATAAGTTTGATTTTTTTATGAAAATGAAGTAGGGTTGAAAGATTTTAATCAAATTTTCTTATCTCTTACTTTTATAACTTCTCTATATTAATGGAAGCACAATGATAGCTATCATCAATATCATCAATATATATATATACACACACACACACACAAACTCTTCCTCCAAGCCACTCTCAAAATGGCTTTGTATTGGCTCCACACTTGAATCACTTTTCACAAGCCATCATAAATAATAGATCGCCTGTAGATAGGATTCTTGGGCTTTGTGCATTGTGGCTCAACTAAGTGGCTGCGTGCAACATTGTTTTATGGTGTGTTTGGATGAAATCAAACTGTGGTTTGGAAAAGTGATTCTGGAGAATAGATTCTGGGAAGAATAGATTTTATGAAAAGTGATTTTGAGAAGTGAGAGTGTTTGGATAGTTGTTATCAGAAGCACTTTTTATATATACAAATTACTAAAAAAAAGACATAAGTTAATATGATAATTACAGAAAAAATAGATTTTATGATATATTTTAATTTGAAGGAATAAAATTGTTAATAATATATTTTTTATTAACATAATTAATAATACATAAGATAATATAATTAATAAATAATTAATATGTATATATATTTATAAAATATAAGATTAAATATGTTTATAAAAAAATATGTTTATAAAAAAAATAATAAGATACATATCCTATAGGCTCTCACACTCTCCCTTTTTTCTCCAAAAGCAAAAAATTTTTGCTTTTTCCAAAATCATGGTTTGTGCAAATTGGGCGGGTGTTTGGGTGACTTATCACCCAAACCATGGTTTGGGGTGTCACCAAAACGGTGCCTTAATAGGCTTTGAAATGCAATCAAACAAAAGCCGTTGAAAATATTTCTCTTTCTTACTTTTAAGAAATATATAAAAAAATATATAAAATATAAAACTAGAAATCAGAGAAGAAAAAAATACTAATATTTGAGAAAGTCAATGTATGAAAATTTTTATAAATTTCATTTAAACCTGGAATCTTAGAAACTTTTTTTATTATCTACCATAATCTTATAAAATATTTATTTTAAAAATTTATTTTTCCCATGTTAAATAAATCACAAGAATTTTCATTAAATATATAAGTATTTTTTTTGTGCAATTTTTAATATAAAATTCAATTATAAAAGCGAGGTAATATGAAAGGTTGTGTTTCCGCATCCGAATAGGTCTTTCAGGATCAATGATTAATTGCTGTCTACAAATTTCTTGACCTATTTCTCTTACAAGATCATGCATCTCAATTCCACCAAATTGATTCATCAAAAAGAGAGATCTTTCTTTGAGAACACTTATCTTAATATATACAGAAAAGTCATAGAAGCTTCTTATAAAGTTTAAAGAAATCTTATAACTTATTTCACTCAATAAATGTGCCAAGTCAAAAAACACATTCTTTTGCTTCTCATCAAGACCATCAACACTCAATTTGAGCACCGTAAAAATATCCTTTTGTGGAGCTTGTTTTAGTTTTTCCAATGCATTTTCCCACTGCTATTTTGTTCTATTGTACATAAAGCAACCCAACACTACAAGAGTTAATGTGTTTCCTTGACAATAACCAACAAACAAATTTGATAACTCCAAATAACTTTTAAATGGATCATTTTGCTGAAATGCTTTCAAATTGAAGAGATTTAGAGTATGACAGAACTCTAATTTCTGAACATGATATGTTACAGATACAGAAGCATTCTTAAGAACTTGCATATCTCTTGATGTAACAACAATTTTACTTCCTTCTCCAAACCAATCATACAATTTGATTAAATCTCCAGCTGTTAATAAATTGTCCACATCATCAAGTATCAAAAGAATCTTTTTTCGTTAGAGCCTACGTTTCACAAAAGTGGATTTCATGTTATAGATGTGAAGACCCTCGTCTTTTAATAATTCTTCAAGGCATTCTTCCATTAATTTGTTCAACCCAATCCTTGCTAGTTGTTCTCTTACATTTCCAGCAAAGGAGGAAGCTTCAAATTGTGCTTTCAAATTGTGAAACACAACTTTGGCAAGTGTAGTCTTACCTATACCACCCATACCCCATATTCCCACAATCCGAGCATGTAACAAGAGTTCTTCAATTTTCTCAATTTGATGATTAATGCCCACAAGTCCTTTAAGATGACATGATGTCAATGCACAGTAGTTCAGTTTGCTCAAGATACCTTTGACAATTTTTTTAATGAGTTTGGTCTCTGACCTAGCACAAATTCATAATTCTTTTTTAGAAAAAAGCATGTTTAATAGACAGAAAAATCAAGTATAAATTAAAAATGCTAGGGCAATTTGGTAGACTTGTGAAATTAACATGGATGAGCAAATTTTAAAACACTGTCAGTTCATGAACAAAGCTCTATTTTTTGTTTTTTTTTCCATATGCACACACACACACACGCACTCACAAGGCACATGATCTACCTTAGAAGGTACCTGATATTCTTGGAATCCCATCTAGAGAGGTTTGCGGATTGGATCAAAGCATTTTTCCACTTCTATAATTTGTTTGGGTTGTCTTTAAATCTTTGCTTCAGTTTAGCAAATCCATCTCCAAATCTCCCACTTTGATTGTGAACATTTGATGGATCAATTTTGTATAAAATAGGCTCACAATCCTTCCAAATTTTTTCTTACATTCTAACATGTGAACAAGTTTATCTAGACACCCAGTTGAAGAAGCATAATCTGCAGAGAAAATAATGACAGGCATCTCTGATTCATCTATGGTCTTTAGAAGAACCGGCGAGATATCTTCTCCTTTGTGGAGTTTGTGATCCATAAAAGTTTGAATATTTGCTTTACAAAGTGCTTCATAGAGATAAGTTGCAAAATTGTGACGAGTATCTTCCCCTCTAAAGCTAAGAAATACATCATACTTGGTGGCAGGAGGAGCAGCAGCAATATGAGGAGGAAGAGGAGGAGGAGAAACCTTTGAAACTGAAACAGCATCACCTTTGAAACTACGGATACAGAAATGAGAAATGGATAATTAATTAGTTAATCGAGCAAGAAGATTAAGAATATGGGGTTTTCAGAGGCAGTAATTAATTACTTCTCTTTAACAGCAGCAGGATGGTTAACATGAAGTGATGAAGGAGAGATAAATCTGATAACTTTATTAGTTGCTATAGCCAATAAGATCAAGAAACCTTCTATGAGCGTTAAAGAAATGGTTAAATCCATGGGATAGATGCAAATTTCCTGCTTCAGTCTTCAAATTCAGCAATCAAATAGCATTACGATCAGCAACGAGATGAAAACAAAGGGGAGAGAAGAAGGAAATTAACTGGTTTCTTTATATATAAACTATATAAACCGCGTCTCTTGATAACAATTAAAGCTGTATTATTTGCATTGCCTAAGTCCATGATTAAAGAAAGACAAAGATACAAGTTGGTCATTTAAGTAAGCCATAAATTACTTTATTCGAGATAATAATGTAAGGACTTATTCTACGGTCAAGAAGGAGATCATGTGGAATCAATCTGAAAGACTTAAAACTCAATTGCCAATGCTGATGAGTGAGATCGGTATTAATAATCTTTATTTGGACTACATGAGTTGGTCGATAAAGAAAGGGCAAACACGTGTGAATATTTGTATAACCTACAAACAAGGTTACACTGTAATAGGTAAATAAATTACTTTAAATGTCACCAATAATTGTGTAGGTTCGCTATGGCATGTGTGCCTTGGTCGCAGTTTATATATGCTGAAGTTATATAGATATTTCGTAGAAGAAGATAGTAGTATGAAACCTTGTTCTTGTATTACATACAGTCCTTGATATAAAAACTAATTTGATTTTTAATTTGATCCTAAATATAAGATCCCAATCCATTCTATCTCTCATATTTATCTATTTTTTTAAAAATAATTATTATACTAATTGCACATGTTAAAAGTTTCATCAAATGATATTTTTAGCTAATACATATGATTAGTCAGGGTATTTTAGAAAAGATAATACTTATTTATTACAAATAACTAATTTAGTTAATTTTCTTAATCTCTACAAATTAGTCAACTAGATCTTATATTAAAAACCGGAAGTAGTATTTTTTAAGAAATTTCCACGCTATAGTTAGCCGTTGTGGCTGACATGAAGTTTGAAAGGATTGCCCTCGTTTACCTTTCTAATCAAGTTGTCCTTTATATACAAAATTATTCTCAATAAAACGTGCCTTGATCATTTAAAAGGTGAAATGGCCGAGAAGGAGACTAAGGGTCCATTTAGATTGACGGTGAAAAAAGTAGCTTATTTCTAATTTGTGTTTTAGAAAAGCAAGATTGGGTAATAGTTGGATTGGGTAAGGTGAATTGTGTTTGGATTGGAATTTAAAAAAGTTAGTTTGTAAAAGTTAGATTAGATAAAAGGTTATTTGGATTATGATTAAATAAAAGTAAGTTTGTTTGTAAAATTACCAAAATAGGTATGAGTTTTAATAAATAATCAAACATGATAAAAAAATGAATTTACATAATACAATGAATTTAAATTAATTTAATATGAAGAAGTAAAATTTAATGAGTGAATTAAATTTTAAAACATTAGAAAAATCATAAAAATTTATTGTAAATATAAAGTGAAACATGATAAAAAAAAAAGTAAATTTACATAATACAATAAATTTAAATTAATTTAATATGAAGAAGTGAAATTTAATGAATGAATTAAATTTTAAAACATTAGAGAAATCATAAAAAATTATTGTGAATAAAAAGTCAAACATAATTTCAATGGATAAAAATTTTTTAAACTCCAATTCATTGTATTGTGACAAGATAAAATGAAATAATATTACATAATTACTTAACTAATAGGCTATGGATAATTGGGTCTTTAATTGTATCACGGACGCGATTCATTTGCGATGAAGACTGTGATGTTACATTTCAAGATGATGGTTGACCAGTTTTAGCTTGATCAAGTTTGCCTACTATATTACCATTTTCATCTTCTACGAAAAGGGTGCTGGAGCTTGAATGTTTTTTTATAAGGTTATGAATGGCCATTGTTGCATAAACTATCTACACTTTGTTTGGAACTCGTAACTATGCATATTTTGTAAGATCTGAAATCTATTCTTCTAAACACTAAATGTTCTTTCTATTGTGCACCTTAAATTGGAATGATAATAATTGAAGGCTTTGTTACTATTTTGGAATCCTACTTGTTGTTGGAAGTCTGGAAGGCGGTAGTGCTTAGATCTGTATAGACCTAGATATCCATTTGGTGTTGGATATCCCGCATCAACCAAGTAATATTTTCCTGATGATTCATGAAACAATTTGTGACATTGTGAAATTAATTAAAATATAAAATAATTAAAAATTAGCTTAATTGAAGCTTATAAATGTATACCTCAAGGTGGATGAGGGAAATTTAGAGATGAATTTGTAATAGCATTGTCAAATACACGAGCATCATGTGCAGATCCCCCCTTCCTGCCAACACAAAAGCGAAACATGTATCCCAATCACATACAGCCTTGACTTTTTGTGTTGGAATTCCCTTTCTGCCAATAAATTTGTCTCGTTTTGCAATAGGGACGACACATAGTATACTAATGCCATCAATTGCTTCGATTGCGTCTTTAAAAAATGGACAATAACGTGGATTATCCTCATTTTTTCTATGAATTTCACGAAATGTAGGATCTACAGGTCAAATAAGCTTCCTCGATAGATTAAGCCAAGCTTGCAGTATATTATGAAACTGTCCACTTACAGTTTCCTTTGAATGTTGAAATCATTCCTAAATCATCCTATTGCATTGTTCATATACAACCATGTTTAAAAACATTGCAACCATTTCTTTAATTCCTATGTACTTAGATTTGCGTAAATCATGTTCCTCCAATTTAGCACATAGGAGGTAGAAAACACATTTATCCACTCTAAACATTTCATGACATCAATCATCGTGACCCGCGAAAATGCCCTGCACCCATAAATTTCATGTCTGCTTACTAGTTTTGCAGGGCTGTTTAAACATGTACATTTGACAATAATAACCCACCAATGCACTTGTTGCTTCATATTGTGTTAATTCATTATTTATAATGTATAACCGTGTTGAATGGTCATCTATATTCCCTTCATTCCACCATGAATCATTATTCCAATTCGATAATGTATCTTCATTCCACAGTCAGTCATCATTTCAATTGGTTATTGTATACTGAACCCTATAACTGTGGTCAGAAGAAAATGTAAGCATTATAACTAGTAACTCGATATTTTTCATATTGTAAATAGATAAACCAAATATATAAATGACAAGTCAAAATTATCATAAATATATTACATACTCATTAACTAAGTTCCTACAACAGGCTATATCAATTTACATTAAAACAAAAATTAGTTCAAGTTAAAAAGTACAATAGCAACAGTAAAATTAGGAAGTCCTAAACTGCAGGTCCCTTCTATGTGTCTGGGTCTTATGCTGCCAATATCAACCACCTCAACAATTTGCATTTATTATTGATAAGTGCCATATAAGCTTGCCTAGCCTACATCAACTGCATAAGCATTTAAGCACATGCATAATATAGTTCATTGTCATCATTTAGCTCTTCAATGTCAGCTAGGTGTGCCAGAACCTTGTCAATTGAATGAGGATCATCGTTCAATATTGCTACTTACTGCTTAGAAGCAGCTGCTATAATGCTGAGGCTATCAGCAATTTTAGTAGAGGCAATAACTTTTTTTTTCTTGTTCACATCAGACGTCTCACCCCTCTTCCTCTTTCCGTAGCTTCCTGAACCACTTGGTCCACTACTCAAGAGGTTGTTCAAGTTACAACCGACCAAGTCATTTGTTAGCCCCGCACTAGCTGTTGGCCTAATGTCAAAATTTTCGTCTTCACTGTCCCTTGACCCTTCCTCTTGGTCCAGCATGACTCTACAAACATTCTCCTCGTCTTCTGTGTCAGTCCGCGGAGTAGGTACTGGCTGAGTCTGTGAGGTTAATGGTGCGTACATATAGCCTCTCGAAGCCATAACATCTTTGAATATTTTCATCAAGTCTGATGCAAACATTAACCTGTGATGCCTAATTAGGTAGAATCAAGCGATGTCTAAACTGATACTCGAAATTAAAACTCGCACAATGCAAATAGTTACCAATAATTTTTGTCGCCACCACTTATCGGAGCCAACACCCTATTTGTGGTTGCATTATAACCTATGCCAGTCTCTCCAGACATTAATGATTCCCACAACTTCCATTCTTTTCTCAATATGTCAAATCTATTCTTCAGTTGTTTCTTATCATAATTTTTCCCACTCCTTTCCTTAAATGTCTTTTCAATATTGTTCTAGCCAAATCTTGTAAATGATGTTTCTTGTCATTACTTTTTCAATATTTGCTCAGCACAAAAAATTTTAGTCGTGTAAGGATCCCATGTTGCTTTTTTTTTAATCATTATCCATTTTTTATGAAAAATAATAGAGATAAGACTAACTGAAGCAAGCAAAACACAAAAAATGTTCAAGTAAAAGCTATATTATGTAATAAATAAGTTTTACCCAAACAAAAATATGTTACTTGCATAGTCTGCTCACTTTAATTTTAGAATATAGGCTAATGGGCCAACCATATAGCAAACGGTGATTAATTCATTATTAACTTCCAAAGCCCAAGCAGAATTTATACACGAAGAAAGGTTTTATAGTTACCTGTATCGGTTTTTGCTTTATCATTTCTTTAATTTCTTTATGGATTAGCCCTTTTTTATATTAATCAATCATTAAAATAACGAACTTTTTTCAAGGGCATACTATGACTCTCTTAGATAGGTTTAGATTTATTATTTTTATTTTAGTATTTCGTAGTTAAAAAAGGTTGAGCCATTCTCATCATATGTATAATATATATATATATATATATATATACATCTTTTAAAATGTGCTGAATCGAATCAATATATAGTGGTGGAGTCAAATTAAATATAAGGGAATTTTTTTTCAGAAAAAATGATATAAGTATCTTTTATCGGCAGAAAAAATTAATCTTCCTTAGAATATAAGACCCTTTCTAATTAGATTTACTTCATACATACACGCTAGGGATATCAGATCACCTAATACTTCATAGATGAGAGTTTTATTATATATTTATGTCATCAAAATTAATAAATATTAATGCAAGAGGTTTAAGACAAGTTTCAAGAATGATATGAAAATAGGAAGAAAATTTTTTATGGACAAAAATACCCAAAATTGAACCCATAATTAAAGAGAGAAACTTTCTGGACTTTTAAATATGGCTC